AGACAGGTAGAAACCCCATGAGCTTTCTCATCCACTGGAAAACAGCAGACATGATCCACATCTGGTACTACTGAACCCGAACAGATCCACTATCACAACTTACATGACTCTTCAAATATTAGCTCTCCAGACTCTGACAGAGAGCAGAGTGCAGGAACATTCTGCTCAATCAGTGTTACATTAGGAACTACAGGAGGGCCTGGAATATCTAATGCTAATATAAAAGTCAAATACTTGTTTATATTGTTTAAGCAACAAATCTCATCCAAAAACAATGCAAATCTGCTCTGTTTCCAAGGGAATCAATCAGGATCAGGAATAAAGACTGAAGGAAATTTGAAGGGATAGTTTGGATTTTTTTATGACAGGTGTTCTCAGCACTAATAGTTTTTACAGTGCAGCCACCTAGTAGGATTCAAGGGGCGGCGGTGGAGGGTGTGACAGCATCACATTCCAAGTTTGATCATTAATACCTGTTGTAACATATTTATGACAGATGATTCTTAGTTAATGTCAAGTTGACATAACAGAGACTTTTTAAATCATGTCGACTTTGCATTACAAATGTCAATATTTCCTGAATGACAATGACAGCAGTCAAATATTCATCACAGATGTTATGTCATACTTATACAGTGTCATATCAGTCTTATGCACACCCCTTTAAATGAAATGTTACCGTAATTTCTGTTTTAGAAAATAAAGTGATATTTTTTTATGAAAATCAGAATGGGCTCTGGTATGAAAATTTGGAAACTTTATTTTTAATAATAATAATAACAATACATTTTATTTGTAGGTGCCTTTATTTACAGTAAAGGTCACATCACATAATTTAACATAAAAACAAACAAAATTTTAAGCCATATTGCCCAGCCATGTCAACAAGTGGAAGAAATAATAACATTATGAAAGCCCAGTTAAAAAGATTAAAACTAACCTCTTAAAAGATGCTCCACAGACTAAAATAAATATTACTGGATCTCACAATCAAGAATTTCCGAGCAAGGTGCTTGCTCCATCATATGTAACCATAGTAACTATGAATTATGTTACTACTTAAAAAAGAAGGGCTAAAAGTTTATTTTAAACAAGTTTCTGGGAGAGGGTTTATTGTGCATTAACTGTGTGAGCCCCATGTGTCTTACAGCAGCATGTGGAAAGTAACATTTGAGTGTTTCCATGTTAAGTTACCAGGGGTGGTAAATGTTGGAGGAACAAAAGCTCCAACTGTGTATTAAATGACTGATTTTAGTGCCAGTTGGGGACATCAATTATTTCTGCAAATGCACAGGCAGGATGACAAATAGAAGATAAAAATGTGGCAGACAGATGACACAAAAGCATGCAGCACTATGACTGATGCTACAACTTGTGCTGTGAATGTTCATAATTAGGTGATTTATGCTGGTCATTGCAGAAGCAGCGCCAGTCTCCACATTCCGCTCCATTTATCTGTCCTGCTACCGTATTAACATCATTTGACCATTTATCTGCAACACTCGTACTCTCAACAGCTACACTTTTAATTTAGCGTTTTATGGATTTAGAGAGTAATATATCTTATAGATGTCAAATCTTTTAGAAATGAAACCCTTCTGTTCTCCACTGGTAGCACTGCAGATATGACAAGATCCAGGTCAATCTGAGATAATGGAGAGTATTTATGAATAGATGTGTGATTTCAATAATGAAAGTGCTTTACTACAGAAAGATTCCATCTATAAAGTTTCATTAGTTTCTTAAATTTTACAATCTCTTAACATGTCACCTTTTGAACAAGACCGTTCTTCCTTAATGGGATCCACGACTAGCATTAGACTTTATTTGAGAAATATTTATGTTAGATGTAAAAACAATAAAGTAAAGATACTGTAGGCTGTTTGGCTTTTATAAATTTAAATAAAAAATTGTCACACAGACATCACCATGTAGTTTAAGCTGCGATGTATTCTGGGTAAATGGTGTATGCTAGGTCCAACTGCACTAGTTCCATCTAGCCAAAACAGCCAAAACAATTTTAAGCCTTTTTTTAGTTTAAAAAAAAGCTCCAACTGAAATGTATGAAAATGTGGAAATTTTAAAGGGTAATGAAGATAAGAAGGAGCAAACGGTGGAAGAGGAAAGCGTTGGCTGAAGAAACTGATGTTTGCTGCTGTTGCTGCCATCTTCAGCTTCATAAATGAAACAATGAATGACACGTACCTCTGGTCAGACTGCGAGATCCGGTAAATAGTGGACGCACTCTGTGTCAGGTCAGGTGTTACACCAAAAACTGTGAACCATCATATTCTGCAACCACAGGGGGCGGTAGCGTGCAAGTACATCTTGAAGGCCACCGAGAAGAAGAATTTACATAAACTACGTAAATACTGATACATCTGAGATTGTAAGCTTCACGGCTTCTTCATTCCCATCATATTGATGGACGAAATATATTTTAGTTTTTTGTATTTAATGCTTATGAACCATTGTATTGTGCTATTGTTAAAATATGTAACCCCACTGTAGCCGTTTAATAAATCGGTAAACAATTAATAATTTGTTCTAACTGCTTTGGTAGTTTTTAACATGGTTTTTCAACTTCCCGCCACCTCCTCATTAAATGAGATGAGTCACATCACATTTAAAATAATATTTAATCCTCAAGAGAAGAGGTTAATTCCTTTTCAGAACAAGGACCAGTCACTAAGCCTCCGTGGGTGAAAAATATAGCAAAAGATATAACATTACCGTATTTTCCGGACTATAAGGTGCACCTAAAAGCCTTAAATTTTCACAAAAATCAGCAGTGCACCTTATAATCCGGTGCGCCTTATGTATGCACTGAATTCCAAAATCTGTCCCTGACACAGAGACGTAAAGTGTAAAGTACGTACGCTGGCAGCGATAAACCAATCAGAGAATTGTTGTCCAAGTTCTGCAGCATACGCCTCGGGTAAAAACCAGATAGGTTTTTCCACGCATCACCGTCCCTGTTCATCTGCGATGCCATGCACACCCATCTCACTGCTACTGTGAAAAAGGAAGTGAAGCAAACTAATTCGGAGTTTGCCGTCATTCCGGGAGAATTAACAAAAGAACTCCAACCGCTGGACATTGGTGTAAACAGGGCGTTCAAAAAGAAGTTGCGAGCGGTGTGGGAGCGATGGATGACAGACTGCGAACACACGTTTACTAAGACGGGGAGGCAGCGCCGGGCGAGTTACGCCGCCACCACGTGTGAATGGATTGTGGATGCCTGGGCTAATGTATCTGCCTTAAGTGTTGTCTGAGCTTTCGCGAAAGCCGGCATCATTGCTGAACAGCCACCTGGCAACGAGACTGACTCCAACAATGATGAGAGGGAACCTGGCATGTTTGATGGCGAAATTGCCCAGCTGTTCAATTCAGATACAGAAAAAAAGGTCTTTCATGGATTTGTGGAAGAAGAATGAAAAATAACGTGAGTGAAATGTTGCATGGTAGAATGAAGTTCAACTAAACTTAATGTTTTGTTTCTGTTACCTTGTTTTTTTTTTTTTTTTTGTTGACCGTATGTTTTAGCATGCGTCTTATAATCCGGTGCGACTTATGTATGGGTTAAATGAAAGTGCGCCTTATAATCCGGTGCAGTAATTAAAATACAGTAAAATACAGTAATTAAAGTAATTATGAATTTTTACACATCACAAACAGCACTTTTTAAGTTAATAGAGAAATTCCAACATATTTAGGCTGACATGTTCAACTACTCGTGGATCCCTTTAAACAAGTAGTTCCTGTAATTTTAAAAGAGACATTCATTCAATAGCTACACCAAAATCTAGAGGACAGAAAGAACACTCTCATATAGCAAGCAGCTCAGATTTATGGAGTATCTTTATGTCACAGTATCGACTCTGAGTAGAACACCCAGCCTCAGTACTCAAACTCCATATCTGCTCCTTATTAATCTACTGTTTATGTTTAGAGTTTAGGCTTCTTAGGTTCCTGCTGTATCATTTTATCCCTCCCTTTGCAGTCATGCAGCCACAACTTCACAAGAATCGCTGTTGTGCGATCCAAAATTACATAGTCCCAGCTGTCATGTGCTTCAGCACTGGTAGGACAAACAGGGACAAATTAAACTTGAATATTTGCCACTAAAAGAGACAAAAAACAAGCTAGAACGTAATCAAACCAGATGTCAGATGTCTGGGGTTGAAACAATTAATTAGATTAATCAGGATGAATCAAGTAATTTAGTAATTAATTGATCATTAACTGGAGCATACAGACTTAAAAAAAGGTTATTTGTTGGAAGAGCAACACAAGTAAAGAAGTAATCAAGCCAAAACTGGACAGAAAATATTTACATTTAAGATGAAAGAAACCTTTGTATATGTACTACCTAGTAATCTCCAATTAAGCACCTTTTGCTATTCAGTTATTAATTGGTCAATCTAAAAATAACCACCAGATTAAAAGCACCAATTAAAAAGAATCTGGCTAAAGTAAAGAGTTTTCTATCTGAAGCACATTAAAAAAATATATTTTACTCCCAAGTCTCCCAATTCATTCCTTTGTCTTTCCTAAACAACAAGAAGAAGAAAAAAGTCAGAATGGCATCAAAAGAACATGGCCCTCTCTGCAAGTCCACCAGTCCTGACTGGCTGCTGGGTGTGTTGCCTGCACTGCCTGACTGTCCTTCAGGTAGCCTGACTATGACGCAGCCAGGATTGAGTTTTGTTTGTCAGAATAGCTAAAAACCTGCTACTGTTGTACATGTTGCCATTTTGCCATTTTAGGAACCAAAAGAGGAAGCCTTTGGCTGTGAGAACTAACATAAAGGCAAAGGACCAGTCACTCAGTTATTATAACATGAAGAGATAAAGGTATAGCAAAAAGCAGAGATCATCATTGATGACATGCCTTAAAAATCTCTCCTGCAGCATGTTCAGCAACTTCTTTACCAAGGAATCAGTGAATGGAACACATGTAGACACGCAAGGAAAAGGAAAGAAGTGATTTGAACATACCTGGCCCACAATGCCGCCCAGCAGCGTCCACATGGCCTGGCCTTCACTCCGCAGGGTTCCGTTCACACTCAGCAGATCCTCCAGAAACTCGCAGAGCTGCAGCAGGACAGGAAGCTCAAGATCATGCAACAGGGTCACTGCAGCTAACAGCATTGGTGCTTCAGGGGGGACTGAAGTATGTCAATCTCATTATTAATAAATACAAACAATGAAATGTCTGAGCAGCTTTCTTTACTTTCTAGAAAACATACCAAACTCCCCTGACCTTTAAAACCCATAGAAAATCTCTGGGCTGTTGTTGTCAAGAGGAAGATGAGAGACATTAGACCCACCAAGCAGATGACCTGAAGGCAGCTATCAAAGGAACTTGGGCTTCCTTTACACCTACACAGAAGCACAGGCTGCTGTCCTCCATGCCACGCTGAATTGATGCAGTAATTCATGCGGGAGGAGACCTACCAAGTACTGACTGCTGAGTGATGTTCATACTTTTCAAAAGCCTCACATTTGTGCTTAGAATATATTTTTATTGGCCTAATTCAGGAGTTGGCAACCCAAAATGTTGAAAGAGCCATATTAGACCAAAAAAACAAAAAACAAAGCTGTCTGGAGCTGCAAAAACTTAAAAGCCTTAGATAAGGCTTATAATAAAGGCAAAACATGCTTTAAGTGTTTATATTAGCCTATTATCAAAATGACTAAGTGTATTCATAATTAGCATTCATGATTAAATGTTTATTTTCCTTGCAGTGTGTCCTGGAAGGAATGACGTACCATGTGACCACTCTGTTGTACGATGTACATTTTTATTATGAAGATCGACAGGGAAAGGGTCTTCGTTTTTCCTTTTGGAACTGCAGTGATCGAAAAAACAACGTGCGAAAAAACAACAAAACGGAACATGCATAACGTGCCCCTTATCTGTACAACAAACGGAGTGCAATAAAATGCAACCTGCAGTGATAAAAATAAAGCAGTAGCCTTTTGAAAATGTAAAGTATACAAAATGAAATTAATACAATTGAAGTTTGATTTCTGTGCAAATGCCAAGAAAGTCAGTGCAATGGTAAAACATAGCAGCATCCTCTTTTGACATGTAACCATTCTCGCACCTGAGCAACAAACACAATAATATCGCCAAGTGTCATTCTAAATATATACTGACAAAAATCACTTATCAATTTATAAAAAAAACCCACTTTATTACTAAATATATGTGCCTATGACAGGATTGTGTTCTTACGTGTTTAATGTGACTTCTGTTTACGGACATCACTCTACAGCTTCTCAACCATTTTTTAATCTTGACGCGGCAGCTAATGTAGCGCCTTCCCTGGAAATGTCTTTCCACATTACCGTATTTTTCGGACTATTAGCCACTACTTTTTCCCCACACTTTGAAGCATGCAGCTTACAGCCCAGTGCGGCTATGTACGTTACCAGTTTGTTTGTTTTTTTAATTGTAGGGGCAGCTTATAGTAAGGTGCGCTCTACAGTCTGGAAAGTACAGTTTTCTTTTTGTTATTTGACAACTTCTCGCTACAGAGCAAACATTCAGGTAATCTTTCCGTATTGGTAGTGAATGCAAATTCGGTCCATGAATTGTAGAATCTCTCCTCAGCTATTTGTCTCTTTTCCCTTTTGCTCTCCATGACCCACCAGACATCCGTCGGTTTGTTTACAACAGTCACATGCCTCGCATCCCGCCCATAGTCACAGACTATGACACAAATCTTTGTTGACAGAAATGTTGAACTTTTATATATCTTCTACACATTTTTATAGCATTGTAAAACGTTAAGAATGATTGTGTCATGTTTGTCCTCCAACAAAAAAAAAACAAAAAAATATATTTCCCACCCCCATCTTTTTCCATTTTCAAACATTTTTGAAAAAGATCCAGGGAGCCACTAGGACAGTGCTAAAGAGCCGCATGCCTCTCTAGAGCCGCGGGTTGCCGACCCCTGGCCTAATTTAATATAATGGTCTGAGGAAGTGAACCTTGGGAATTAATTTTCTGAAAGCCAAATTCATCAACATTACAAGAAACAAAGGATTGGAATATTTCAGTCTGTGTAATTAATCTACATAAAATATGAGTTTGACTTTCTGAAATCAGGGAAAACAAATACTTTGTCACAATATTCTCAGAAAATCATTTTTTGAGACATACCTGCATAAACAGGATGGTCAGGAAGGTTATTAGAAAAAAATAGAAAAAACTAACAAATTGATATTTCTAATTATTTAAAAATGCAACTGAAAACCTCAGGTTCAAGATGAATCAGTCAAACTCAGACTTCTACCAGCATTTTTTTTCTAAGGCTAAAACCATGGAGGAACAACTCAGCAGTGCAATTAGCAACACACACTCCATTAATAACGCTCAACACCCATATCACATTCCCCTATGCAACATTAACTCCTGTGACTTTTACTCTGCCACTGGATTCTCTTCCTCATGTTGACAGATGGTGTGGCCGTAGCCTCACAGAGGTCACATGTTTGAGAGGAAATAATAAAAAGCTAAATGCTCCATTCCTGGGGCCAGATCTGATCTCATGTAGCGCTCTCCAGCCAGTCAGTCACTGAAACAAAGTTTAGACTTGATTACAGGGCCAGAAAAAAAAGCAGAGAGCAATGCCAGCATCAAGCTGAGTCTACACACTAGCTGTCGAATAAGAGGTCATGAGCTGTGTGACTGTCTCCATTACAGTACCGCATCCGCCAAATTCCACATGGGAGTAGATTATAACAGCTACAACTTCACTACACTGAAATCAGATACAAAGATTAAAGTTTCAGACAAAGTGCAAAAAAAAAAATAATAATTCAGTAGTTTCCAATGACAACAATAACCTATTAATTCATGTGCGTGAAGGAACTGGCTGATCATAAGCACAGCTCAGAAATACTTAAAAAGAAAAAAAGAAAAACAATCACAAAAAATAGAAGACATAAGTTCATCCTCCATATCAGTTTTCATGTGAAAAGGTTTTAGGCTGAACTCCAAAGTCTGTTGCCTAGGCAACAGCAATCAATTGTGTCCAAAAAGTCTAACATGTTAAGATATGTCTGCGCTTTATTTATGCCTAGTTCATACAGGAAGATTTTTATGCCAATTTTTGTCCCATTTCCATCTTGCAACAATCTAAAGGATGCCGTGATTACCAGAAGGGCTTCAAAGAGAATATTAAGAGATATTCTTAATATTCTTAATATTAAGAATATCAATATTCTTAATATTAAGAATATTAAGAATATTAATACCAGGGTTAGATCACTCTGGACCCTGGTTGTGTTCAGAGTGATCTACAACCAGGGATATTCAACATGTTGGATTGTCTTGGTTAAATATCGTAGTGTGTGGCATTCCAAGAGGACAAACGAGAACACAGCCAGTTAAATGTGACGTGTAGCCAATCTGAAAGTGAGGTGACGAAAACAAGGAGGGGAATCCATAAAACACCGAAGACAAAACAACTACCATGGAGGACCAGAAAGATCAGTGGAGATGTCTTTGATTAGTTGTTTTTCCCCATAAAATACAGCGCACAAACTATCGCCATTACTTCTTTTACCAGTCGGCCATGTTTGTTTACTCTGAATTCATGATTGGTCTCCAGAGGTTTGGCAAGATTTACTGTCTGACGTCAGAATGTTGGTGAGTGAAATTGGTTCAAGCATGTGTTGGTCCTGTTGTAGAGTATGGCTGGACTCCACACAATGTAACGCCAAACTTGCTATATCTACCATTTTTTATCGTAATGTGGTCTCAGGTTTTAAAAAAGATGAGGAAACAAATCACTGATGTAATCTATTCTGCAAGTTATACAAGGAAGTATATCTATTTTTTTATATGAGGCAAGAGTCAAATATACTGTCAAGATGTTTTATTTGTTCTGAAGAATTTTATTTCCCTAGATTTTGGAGCTTTATTGTGACTTTACAATAAAATCGATAAGATTTTTACTTGTTTGTGGGGGAACACAAATGTTCCTTCCTGTCACTTTATTTTCCCTGTGCATACACAAAAAAAATAATTAATAATCAAAATATTTGGAAGGAATCCTCCCCAATTTTTACTGTCAAAAAATGGCGATACTAAATCGGATCACATTTAAATCTGTAGCGAAAGCAGAACAGAGCTAGAGGTTCGGTGCAGAACTGGACTGATAGCAAAATCTACAGATGCTAAAACTACATGTTTATCTGTCAGCTATGACTGGTTGTTTTTTTGCCTGTAAACACACCAGCGGGGAATGTTCTTTGGTGCGCTTTGTTTTGGGTCTAGTGAAAAATAAGATGAAGATGAAGAAATATGTGTTGATGCAGAGATAATATTCTTTCCTCAAGTTTCTCTATCACAGTTTTCTTTCATGATGAACTAAAACAAGAGACACAAAGACGGCATTGGCCAGTCAGACCTCAAAGAAAACTGAAAAAAGCTGTTGGTCAGTAAATGTCTGACCGCTGCTCCTGAATAAAATTTTACGTTTCATAAAACATAAGGAAAAAACAAACACAATTAAAGCCTGCAGCATGTTTAAATTATAACTTAGAAGAAGTTAATATTCTAACAATCCTACTTTTACTTACTTAAGAGCAAATTCAGTTTGAAATTTTAATTTATAATAAAAATGATTACTGAAAAACAATGACAATACATAATTCTGGTTCCCCACTAAACACCTGAAAAAAGGAAGTTGCTGTATTTTTGCTCAGCTACTTGAATGGTTCACGTTCACTGCATCACATGGAGCAGGTGCATCACCTTGTTGTAAGCTGCTCACCTTGTTGTACTCCACATGCAGTTTTTCTTGCTCACTTTCCAGTTTGTCTTTCAGGTTCTTCTGCTCAGAGATGTTGTCCTGGATCTGGATCATTCGCATGTTCCGCTCTGAATAACAATGGGACAAAAATCAATAGCCCGATCCCAATCTATATACAGGAAAACAGCCCATGACAGAACCCTGATGGCAGATAGGCCCTCTGCAAGCTCATTTCAGAGTTCTCAAGGTTACTGACATGCTGCCATTTATTTGGGAAGAAAACACTTTTCATTTGCATTCCTAAAAAGCTTATTGCAGATTACAACTACAGTATTACCTCATTTAATAATCTTGTAAAAAACAGATAGTGCTGGCAAGAAATAACCAGTAACACCTACTTCTAAGTGACTCTGATAAGAGCAAATTTCTCCTGCTGTCTCTGAAATTCTAAAGTTGCTGCTCCAACTTTCTAAACACTGCACTCTCACATTGTGCAAGCAAAGCTAAAACTGCATTTGTTCCACTCAATATAAAGATCTCTGCTTTATTTCCAGCACAGAAAAAGAGATTGGGAGTTAGATAAGCTTCAGATAACAGAGCATTTCTCCTCCTGAGTGCAGATGTGATCATAGGAGTGTATCACGCTTCACACAGTTGTTGCTAGAAGCCACAGAAACGCTCTAAACATGAAGGACCCGTCCAAAATGGTGGCACCTCTGGAAGCTTCCACAGGGAGTTTCAAGCAATGAGTATCTTACCTGCAGTCAACAGTCCAAACACATTATGTTTGAATGTGCTCACTGAAGGTTTCTGCACACTTATTAAAAACTGATGGTTTTATTTTATTGAGCCAGAATTAATATTTCACATAATCAGTCAGTAAAGAACATAACGTCTCTCTCCAAATCTATCCACGTTTCTACAATGAAGGAGTACAGCAATATACTGTGACCCAAATCCAGCTCTTACCCATCTTGTTCTGGAAAAATATGTATTTTTCAACAATGTGATCAAAGTTCTGTTTCATTATAAAATCATAACTGGAAATGGCTATATTATAATACTAAATCAATGTAATCAGCTAGGCTTCCTCAGATAAAAAACCTGCATTATCAGTTGAATTTGACTGAATTGTATTAAGACCAGGTTTGAAGTATAATTAATTTGGATCTGTCTGCCTGATTGGGTTTATCTTGTGGATCTTATAAAGTGCCTTAGTACAACATTAGTTGTAAATAGACGCTGTAAACTGGAGATAAAGTGAATTCAGCTGGCAAAATCAGACTTATAGCTAATTTCCCATAAACGTCCATCAGATGTGTTTCAGTGGTGTGAGCTCAGTTCATATTTTACTGAATGCAACTGAAAATAAACATGACCAGTGGTGGACAGATGTGACGGGCAGTTTGTTCACCCAGGTAGTAGTTGACGAAGTCTGCAGTGAGGGCTGGCTGCTTGTGCTTCCTGCGTCCGTCCATGCTGGCGTTGGCATCTGAAGTGTCCACAGGGAAAATGTCAGTGCTGATGCCCATCAGTTCTGCCTTCCTCATCAACTTCCTGATGGCTGAGGCGCTGGAGGTCAGAGGTCGGGGCAGTTTCTCTCGGGGAACCCAAGCCTGAGGCCGAGTGTTCCGGGACAGCTCTGCTTTGGCTCGGTACTGCTGAAGGCGGGTGGTGATACGGGCCTGAGAGGGAAATACCAAGCAGCTCTTCGTTAACCCCCCACTGTGCTTCAAACTGAATCTGAACCACGTCTAATCTCTGAAGGAATTCAAAACAAACACTAAACCTAACATAAATATCCTGAAACCAGAAGTTTACATATGCAGATGTTTATCCCGTTTCTCCTCCAGATGTAACAAAAGTCTTTTTTTACGGCCAAATAGTTCCAGTTAAGTTCCATCAGACCACAGGACATGTCTCCACAGTTGAAGGTCTCCACAAACTACAATCTGATTTTTTATGTTTCTTTAATAGTAATAGGTTCATCCTCACAGATATTGCTTTTCATATCTGTTTGGGAACTGTCTGCCTGTGGATAATGAGACGGTCTCAGCAGCTTCAGCATCTACACTAAGTCTTTGTCATTTATTTTGGGGTCAATCTGCATATTTTAGACCAGAACCTGTCTCCTTCCTGAGTACTGTGATGCTGTGATGGTTGGATATTCCTTTCATACCAACTACAAGTGAACAGATGAATTTGATGGAATCAAGCATCTAGAAATTGTTCCCAGGATGAACCAGACTGGAGCAGCTCCTGATTTTCTTCCTGATATCTGGGCTGATTCCTGCTGACAAACCGAGCAGAGAGTCCATCCAGGTGTGCCACAGGTCAGTCTTCAAATAACTCAAATGTGTCAATTAACTAATCAGAAGTTTCCAAAGCCGAGGCATCATTGTTTAAAAAGATGGTAGTCATTCTGTATGCAAAGTTCTGATTTTGAAGGTATAAATATAATAGTAATAGAATAAATAAATATTTAATATATTTGTTTGTCTTATTATTGTGGCACTTAGCAAATACAAAAAATGTTGATAATCCTAAGTGAGATGTTTAGACTGATTTAACTTCAGACGGTGATACAGAAAGGTGTGTGTTTCTTTTTACTCCATGTATGTAAATGTCTGTTCTCAACTGTACAAGAATAAACACAAAAGCATGTAGACAATGTTACCTGAGCCTCAGGCGTGAGCTGCTTCTCTCTCTCCTGTAGAGAGACCTTACAATATGACTGTAAAGCCAAATAATTCTTCCTTTTCCACTTCCTGTCAAAGCGATCTGCATGCTGCTTGCAGTAGGCAAAAAATGGATCAGCAATATCCTGATGAGACACAAAGGCAAGACATGTTTAATAATGACGCCAAAATTTAAGTCAATTTTTACTAAGTCTGAAATCAAGGTACTCAAGCCAAATATAGCTTATTATTTTAATCAAATGTTATTTATTTTATTGTAGGGATAATAAAGAGTTAATATGAAAGTTATTCACGTTATTAAAAGTGACTAGAAATCATTCCCTTATTTCTGGTTCATGAAACTAAAAGCAGAGTTTTTAGAGAGCTGAATCTCCAAAACATGACAACCTTTAACCACAGCGAGATCAGGAGCTCAAATCCTGATCTCGCTGGATTTGAGCGAGACAGAGCCGGCTCGAGACCGTCATCATGAACAGGAAACGTCACTTTAAGAGGAACTTTCTAAGCTCACTGGCTTCTCTGCTATCTGCTGGTCCTCTCAACTATGGAGAGGTAAAACAGACAAAATTAAGTAAATACATCATAAAATCATTTATTAAATGCACCAATAAATAAATGTTCAATTAAACAATTTACTAAATGGTATTAAATTATTATAATGTAAACTAATAACAACTGATGCAGATAATTCATTAAATGTGTATTGAATTATTTTACGGTTCCTGTTCCTGCAGCATCACCATGAATTTATGTGTCCAACTCACCCATCCAGGTTGAGGGGCAGAGCTTATCTGATCTGTTCAACTCCACTAGTTCTTTGTAATGGAGGATTTTCCTGAGCTTTCCCTGAGTTTGTTGGAGAGACTGTCGTCCTGACTAAGTGGTGGATAAAGTCAAAGGACTGATTGAGTGTGAGCTTTGTATTGCTATGACAAAAAGGTGATTCACAAAATGGCTTCCTAATTTTTCACAAACTGAGCATGTTTAATCTGCTGTACTTAAAAAACTATGAAACTCAGCCACTTCAAACCTGCCCTAGATTATTGTATACTAACAGTGTTAATTCATGAAATCTTTATTTGTCTTGTGAAAATTGAGCTATTAGTGCAGAATAATCTAGTCTAGGTTTGAAGAGTCAAAGTGTTGGAGCGTTTCTAATGTGGTCCAGATACAACAAAGAGCTACACTGGCCTTCCATTAAACTTTCACAAATCAAACCATCTTGGTACATTTATTTAATTATTCCATGTATTTATTTATTTATTTATTTAATTGTGTTCCTTTTAATCTACTAAACTAAACTAATAGAAACGTTGCTTTACTTCTGTCTGCTGGTAGCAGAGCTCCGAATCATTCAGTAACTGTAAGTTCTATTGTCATGCATTGTTCTGGTGAGTATGTACCTCTTCTGCTGCAGCCTCAGACAGGAGCCCCTCCCTCTGTGCGCAGGTGACGTGGAAGTAGGATCGACACATTCCTGCATCACAGCTGATGCACACACCGGTCCTGGCAAAACGGGCATCCTCACAGAAACTGCACTCCTGTACCAGAACACACAGCAAGGACAGCGATTCAGATTCAGATTGGAAACTAGGGAAGTGAAGTGTTTTTAAAACCAGAAACAGTTGTTTAACCTTAGAAATCAGCTAGTTTAAATAAAGACTGATGTGAGTAAAGAGAAAACTAAATAGTGTAATGTTTCTTTCTCAGCAGGTTATTTTCTGTACCTGACTCCATTAAAAATATCCAAGAACAGCCTGAGATTTTGGAGTATTTTACTTGAGTTCATCAGGAACAAACTATCTGGCTGTGTTCCTGGTTTTATATGAACCCTATGCAGAAATTCATTATTGTCATCTCTGCCAGCAGTGTCACTGGTTCAGTGTTTACCTGGACAGAGTACCGAGGATAATCAACATCACTGCTCTAACATCATTAAAACTGAGAGCATGTCTTTGTCACTTCCTGTTAAGATATTCCCAGACCTCATTAAATTCAATTTTTTAAAATGACAGCTAAATGATCCCTTCTTACACCTTCCAGAGAATTTACAAAAGCAGTAACTCACATTTTATCATGTTTCAACTGCAAAATTTCAGAAATCAGTTGATGTAAATGCTTTCAGTCGCAAAAAAACTCTTACTTTCAGATGAGGTGAGCAGGATAAAAAAAATATTACTTAAAATATGTGTTGTTTAGCCCTGGACCACTGCTTCTTACTGATGGACACAAGTCATGGACATGAATGTTATTTAGGATGTTAATGATGCACTTGGACTATTCTTCTTCCAGATTGGCATGACGATCTAACAGCTGTAATGAATTTCTAAAGCACCAGTTTATTGCTTGAGTTTAAATTTACTGTAACTTTTCTTTAACTCCTACAGGGTCAAAATTAAGCATAATGAGTAGATAATAAACATAAGCAATAACTATTATTTATCTACAAGTCCCTCAGCAACATGCAGTCAAACAATACTTCTTTTGTAGATGTCACTGAGTTTTTCTTATAATTCTGGCTCTTCTGGTATTTGGGCTCTCAAAAACAATAGAGTTTATTTAAACTGGTTGGTGTTCTTGAACACACCCAGCTTTAAGCTAAGTTTACAAATGTTCTCTGATGTTAAAGTTGGGTCCATGACAGAGATCTAATGTTAGTCTGCTTTATCCATTCCAAAACCTGCTCTGATGTGTGTTTGGGATCATTATCCCTAATAAACATGCTGAGTCATCGTTGGATCCAGTCTGTGTAGCTGCTGGTGTTTACTTCTGCCTTGCACAAAATGGGTATTAGTGGTGTAATTATGACAAAAGCTTACAAATGAGAACAAATGTAATTTCCCTGCAAAGTATTGAGGGATCTATAACCCAGGATCTGCTGGGATATGTGTTGATGTTTGAGCCTGTATGCATAATTTTGACCCAGGTAACATGGAAGAAGGATTGACACATTCCTCCATTCCCAAACATTGCATCCATAAAAAAATACCATTTGTGAATCCAAGTGTCTTTAAATTTATTGGCAATGTTTGTTTTACGATCATTCCACCCAGAAAACCACTAAATTAATATGACATCACCGCTCTTGGGGAGCATCTTATCACCTGCACTGTTTAAATTTTGCCTTTGGAAGCGGTGGACATATTTCTACTGATTATGAAAATCCAACTCAACCTGAGTCAAGATGTGAATTGACAACTTGCCTTAGCACCGTATTTTGAATAATTCATCTCCGTAAGCGTCACTGGTCGCAGTTTATCGATGTCTCCAAATGCTACTCCAGGGACATAAAGTGCACAGACCACGTGCACCCACCTGAAAGTGGAAGGACAGGATGAACATACATGTTTCAAGCTGAAAATAAGCTTGTAATCGGTGACATTTAGATCCACCATTTTTAAGGCATGTCAGGAAACCAATTAAAAAACATGGCAGAGTTTTTTTTTTTTTTTTTCCTGCAGACAATAAGCAGCCTAATATTGTGAAATTGGCTGCAGTCAGTTGCTCAGAGACTTCAAAAAGAAATGAGCTCATAGATTAATATAGCCCCAGATGCTGGCTACACTTTGGTGTGACACAATTTCAAATGCGGACTTTAGAGAAGAGAATCCAAAGTCCAATATAAAGATATCCATCTCTAGCAAGCAAGCGCTTCACAGTTTAATTTGCTGTGTTTTTCATGCTCTAGTGAAGTAGTAAATTCGGGTGCAGCCTGGCTGAGGAGCACCATCAGCGATAACGTGGCTGAAGTCTCCATGCTTCACAAAACACACTCTTTTCTCTCACTCCTTTTTCTTCCTCTTCCTATTCCTTCTATCCGTATTTTTTTCACTCCTCTATGAGCTCTCTCTCTCACTAATCCAACTTCCTCCTTTTCTCAGCAGCGAATAAACAATGAGCACAATTTAGACAGCATTTTTGCTGCCGCTTGCCGAGCTCAGGCCATTAGCTGTTATTTGTTTCTGATTATGTTAGTTGTCCTGCTTTTTTCTGAGAAACTGGACCACACTGTACTACACCGTCCCACCTCCCGGCATCCGTCTCTTTGAAGATGCCGTCCTGGTTGGGGCACAGCTCACAGCTGGGAGTCACTCCATTCTTGCAGGCGTCACAGAACCAAGGCTCGGTGGAGTTCTCAGAGGCTGAGCTCATGATGGAGTCGCTCTCACCGTCCACACCGTAACACCCTGGAGTCCAAGAGAGGACACAGCTTTAGAAGGCACTCCAACACCAGCAGACCTCAGCTGTGTGCCATGGTGCTCACAGAGCTCAACCTGCGCAACATGATGGTACTGATGAATAGCAAATGTCAATAAAACATTTCAGAGAGGAAGGACACATCATTTAGTGATCAATATGTGGGAATAAATGCTGTTACAAATGTTTGGAAAAAAAATCAGACATTATCTGTTAACTAAACAGGATCTGCAGACAATATGGTGACGATATGAGTGGCCCTGTGGACTGTAGCGGTATAACGGTACGCGCACAGACATCGGTTTTAAAGTCAGGGTTCATTATGTTTCCACTTCAATCAATAGAAACAAATAGATGGTCACTATAGAACTGACTGGAGATTTGGGAGAGAGACAAGTATATGAGAGGTGGAGGGGGGGGGGGCGAGTATGGTTGACTGGATGATACAATAAAACTTGAAATTGGCTAATATTGTTGTTTAGGAATATTCCATTAGACTCAGCAAACACTTGAAAACATAAAGGTCTGGAGTTGATTGGATTTAGATGATCCAAAGTACCACATGTACCTGAATGCACCATCAAAGTGCAGCTGTTGGGAAGTCCAATGAAAAAAGATGGGTTTTCAAAGCAGCTTTAAAAATAGACAAAAGGCCCTTTAATATGAAGGACTAAATAAAAGTAGACAGTGATGTCATGGATAATTACAGTTTCTGGTCATGATGCTGCAGAGAAAGATGAGTTTTGCCCTCTTAATGAACAAACTTTTGCCAACTGGAGCACATTCGAAGGGAAGTCACACAATTCAAAGTCATGCAGGATTTTATGATCAGCAAAATTTCCTTCATTTCCTTCTGATCAGGACTTATACAGACCATCAGCATTCGCAGGAAACATCACGACAGCAACTTAATATATAACTTAATATGGTTGCTTAATATCAAAATTGTTGATATTTGCTGCTGTGCCAATAACATGACAAGGTCAGGTCAACATAACGATACCTACAGTTTGAGGTTTTTAACATGCAGCGGTATGCTAGGCCAAATTTTCACTTGAACAAATAGGAAATGAAGAAAGTAGAAAAGTCATGGTGCTGTCTGGTCCAAAGCTGTCAATCTCCAGTCGCACTGCAGCACCGAAAATTGAATATTTAATCAAAATACGTAGCCCCAGAGAATGGAGAAGAAGCCAAGGGAACACATTTTTATGTTGTCCTCTTAATTTTCTGAGGTTGCCTAAACAATTACTTGGCTGATGTGGTTTCTATGGCAGCTATTACACCAGGCAAACGTGCTCCTCACTTCCAATGAGGGCAGCAATCAGTACTCTGCCTCTGCTGGGGAGATAACACTCCAGCTCCTAATTCAGTCAAGCAGCCTTCGGGCTTTTTGAGCAACGGGAGAGACTCACAAATCAAAAGCTTGCTGTTCTGCAGGCCTGTCACTGGATGCCACACAGAGGAGTTGGGCAGCCCATCAAAAGCAAACAATGGTGCAGACGGAGTTGTTTATTCAGCTCTTCACTTTGTTTGGTGACTGTGTGTCTTCTGATTGAAAGACGGTTTGATGTGTGTCATGGTGAATAGTTAATTCTGACCTCTGCTTGTAAGAGGCTTTGGCAATATTTTCTGTTTCCTGCAGATCTTTGATTTCTTAGTGAGATGAATTCACTTATACAATAAATGCAGTCAACATGTCAATGCTATCCAACAGTGTATTAGGAATGACAGTGCCATTAATGCTTTACAAAATCTTTATGTGGTGTAAATGAAGCTGCTGTTGGTTTGCTCCTGGCAGCAGTTAAACTCTTCTTTACTGACTGAGCTCAGACAAATGCAAGTCAGGGTTACAAATAATCACCAGTGCTGGTTTAACAGATTTATGGTGGCACGGATCTGCCGTGTTCCTTTTGAACTTGGAAACTAAGCTCACACTGTAAAGCCAGAGTTTGCTGGCTAATATGAGCTAAGCTGACAAAAAGTGATGACTGCTGGATAACTTCATAATCTTTAAAAGAAAGATTAACCTTGTCAGAAGTGACAAGCTTAGCAGGAAATAAGATAGAGCTGAGTGAAGTGAGAACCATTTTCACCTGGATAGGAACTTAACAGAAAGCTGTCTCCTTGTGTTCAACAAAGACTAACAAATTATGTATGAATCTACCAAGAGGTTTGACTAAATGACCTAATGAAAGCAAGGACTTTCAGTGGAGCTGGTCCTGAAAAGCAAAGAGCAGTTCAGTTAAAACAGATTACTCTTCTGACATTCACATATTTTTTATTTGTTCTTTAAAGTACAGTATAATATGAAAATGTTAGAGGTTACCACAATACCCTCAATTAAATAGATTCAAATATGAACAAATAAATTGTCCTACATGTTTCAAAAATATTCTGCGTAAGACACTTCCACATCTGACAGTTTGTCAGATGGAGCTCAAACAAACAAGTCAAACCTGAAGACATTTGTAAAAAAAATAAAGACTGTCAGGTGACCCAAAGCCTTTGGGAAAAACAAAAAACCGTTTCAGCAAGCAAAGAGAAATAAAGTTAATCTTGAAATTGCTGTGTGGCTCTTTACAGTGATCATGAGCTTAGTTTGGCTCTTAATGTCGGCATTAAGATTTGCACTGGTTTGCATACCTGCTCTGGACTGTAAACACAAACAACATTCTTACTTAGAATATTTCAACAGCCTTTAAGAGCTTGACATGTATTCATTCACTGCTTATCATTCATTATGAAACAATACTCTGAAATGTAAAGATAAAGCTGTCAAAGAACAACAATACATTTCCAGCCTTGTTATGGAAAAGTACCCTGAACATACTCCTCAAACCTGCATGACATCACAAGGGGGCAACTTCTGTGAGATGTTTAGAGCCGAGTCAGGGCAAAGAGAAGGAGGCAGAGACAGAAAAGAGATCAAATGGTGGACTGACTGAGAAACACAGAACCGGGACCACCAAGCACGAAGCCCATCTGCTTGAGGCAACCATGATCCTCTTGTTCAAACAAGCAAAAAATAAGTGCTGTGTTTTTATTGAGCAGACAAAGTTCCAACAAGCTTTGTTCTTATAGTCATAAATCTATAGCAGAAACTTGAAACAATAAGGGCAAACTTTGGTTCTGAATCCAGAGAGAGAAACTACTGCGACACCAAGACTGGACCAGAGAAACAACTGCCTCCCAGCCTCAGAGCAATAGAACAGCTATGAAGCTGAATCCCAGGTAGACCCAAAGAAAGCAACCAGTTGTCTGACCCAGCTGTACGTCAAGACATTGAAAAACTTTTTTCTTTTTTTTAAGTATTTAATCAGGTAATAATTATTCAGGCTGTCAGCATACACAGATTCAGATCTGTGTATCAGTAAGTGAATGACTAACTGGGGTGAGAAGGTCTTTGGAGTCCTCTGACTTGATAAAGTGATGTACCATTTGTCCAATCTAAATTCATCTCAAAATTCTCCTGCTTAGCTTTGAATGAACTAGCCAATCTCAGTCTTTTCTACCCCCAGCCATGCTCTACAAGACCAGAGCAGCAAAAAAGATCATACTCTGCAGAAAACTACAACAAAACTTAGAGGGTGTATGTATCTTTAAAGAAATCAACATAAAAATACTACATTATAAAAGAAATAATAGATATATTATATTTGCAGCTTTAAAACAGCCATTTTTCATTATTAATAAATAAGGACATGAGATTGGTGAACATAGTTGAAGTAAAGAGCTGTAACCGACAAAGCTGAGGGTAAAACACTTTAAGGTAATTCTGGCTGCTTGTATGACTAACTGGAAGAAGAAAATCAAAAGGTGTTGCAGCAAGAACAGGACTTCTTGATCAGCTCAGTGAAGACGGGGCCCAGCTCATCCCAGCTTTTGATCTCTCACGCTGGTCTTTTCCCCCACTTTCATGTCAGTTTCTGTTTTCTTCTGAGAGTGTGTGATGGTGTCCATACACTGTGAGACTACAAGAACAAAGAAAAGCAGTGGAGTCGAGCAGCACACTGTCTTGTCGGAGCTGCAGATGCTGACAGATCATCTTTCATCTCTGACTTAAAATAATTCTGTCTTTCCACTTGTCTTATCCTCAAAAAGACATTTTATGATTTCTAAAATAAGCCAGGATTCTGTACTACATTCAGTAGGATTGCACTTGATCAACTATAGACGTGGCATAAGCCAAAACACTCAGCAAAACAATATTTTATAAATCTATGCTATATTTCCCCACATAATTGACCATAAAAATCCCATAACACATTAATACTCAAAACCAACATCAACTTATTGGCTACTTTGTTAATTTCTTAAATGTTTTAACGGTATGTGATTGTGTGAGGTTTATTTACCTAGAGTTTCTTAAGTTGCGACCGCACACATCAGGGCGAGCATGATAAGAAGGAGAGAGTCAGGATGGAGTGTGTGGATCATAAAGATACACACTCCACGTGTCTTTATGATCCACATCTGCACTTGTTCCACAGAGCAGGTAGAACAAGAATTTGTCAACTTGGCATGAGCTAGAATTCTATTGAGTGAGTGTTTGTGAGATTTAAATGCACAAACAACAAATTATTATTTTTCCACATAGATGTATGCACTGTCATCAGTCTCACTGAATGCTCAGGTTGGAGGCACAGCATAATTATCAGCAGTGCAATATGGAGGGCCCAGACTGGAAGTGCTGTGTTTGAGCACAACTGCACATAACCTTGGAAGTTGATGGCTCCATGTTAGACCATTGGCAATAATCGGCTTAACTTAACAAAAAAATTCAATTGCATTTTTAATTTTCTCTGCTCAACAGCATTACATTCACCCTGACCATGGCCAATCAGAGGAGGGGTTCAGCCATTCACCATCTCTGATTGGTTTAGACCATGATAGAGGCCTAATATGTGCCTATCATTGTTATTTAGCTCCATTTACTAGTAGGCTCCATCCAGACTACAGCTGTCCACCATCATGGTGGACCTGAATACCC